GAGAGATTCGAGGCTATGGTTATGTTTTATGGGACTGTGTCTAAAACTGGTGAGCGAAAGGACAAGATCACTGGCCTTCAAGTTTTAAGGTTCATGCTTCTCAACCCTAACGATTTTAAAGATAAGAAACTGAAAGAGTTCCAGAAAGACTTGGAGGCTGTTCAAAAACTGTTCCGGGCCTTGCGTCTCAAGTTACCACTTAAAGGTGATTGTCCTATTAACATTAAAGAAGAATTAGGTCCACTGATCACTGGTGTAGGGGAGATAGCAAGGTCTTTTGTCTCGGCAAGAAAGCGGTATACCATTTCAATAGTTTTGAACTATTTTGGCAATGTTCAGGAAAACGTTGGGTCAATACACGATGAAGAAATAAAAGATGAAGAACATAGTAAGAAAATAAGAAGGATTTTGCCTTACGTAAATGGCGTTTCGCTTGGTAACATTCGCTTTGATTGCTATGCAAATGATGAAACCACTTTTGTTCCACGACTTGACCATGTACAGGTAATCTCTGATTTGAGGTCCATAGAATCACTACGCAACATCGAAGCCAATCAGCTAGGAAAATTGGCTAAAAAGATCGAGGAGATTTGGCCGAAAGATATACCCAAGCCTGACTGGAGTGAGAAAAAACACCTTAATGCTAATATTATCCATGCAGGACGTGTTTTCTGGTTCAAGGTAGCTGAGGACAATGATATCATACAGAATGAGGGTTTTAGGAAGCTGGTTGAAGAGATGAAAATCACATTAGCACAATGTTCTGTAGAGCAAGAGGAGATAAGTTTCAAGGCAATAGGAAACATACAGAATTCAATGCAGCGCTTGGGGCTAAGTCGTCAATGTCTACATCAAATATGTGGAGAGAAATCCATTGCCAGCATGTTGGATGAAGTGAGTAAATTCATAGAAAATAGCATCTGTCAGGCCGAAGGGAGCAACTAAAGAAAATGTGAATCGGAAATTGAATCAACAAGACCCTGGTGGCAGGGTAGACCAGGTTACCTGGTTGGGAAAGTTCACAAGTATCTAAGTCTCTAGGTATCTAAAAAGTGCAAACTTTCGAACAGCAGTATAAGCCTGAAGCGAGATGACGTTTTACCCCCGACTCTATACAATAATAGTTTTTAAAATTCTTTCATATTAAAATTTTTGATTCCTTAGAGAATACAAGAACAATACTCATAATTTAAGAACAAAAGCAGTGTGAAAAGGATTATGGTCTAGAGACGGGGTTAAAACGTCATCGTCAGGCCGTTTAAGGCAGAGCATTTAAGCCATACTGATCAAAGTCATTAAACAACTGAACTGGAACTCCAATCCCAATTACTATCCAGATTTTAGCATAAGTAATTAGATTGTCGCGGCGTTAGCCTCCTTAAACGTGAACATTCGTACGGACGTCATTTTAATGACTTCTTTCAAATCAAATTGCTTCATTTAAGACCCAATCTTTGCTCAGGATTACTTGTTTCTTACGGTTCCCTTGGTTGATTTATGTTTCGAAAGTAATAAACATTTTCTAAAAGAATAATTTTATTTGCGAGTAAGCTACAAGTTGAAACACGATCGACCTCAAGTGATGGTCAAAAATCCACTTCTTTTAAAAATTTATATTCACCATTTTATTACTCTTAATAACAAAACCAAAACTCATGTAAACTTATATGTACCTGGTTTTATTTGTAGTAGCTTTCAGAGTCAAAATACCTTTACTTAAATTTTGCATCTAGTGATCAGAATCGGGTATATGCATGTAAACAACTAGTGGATCATTTAGCTGACAAGATGTACAATGTATATATTTAAACAAGTCTAATTTTCCTTTAAACACTCATAGATTTAACCAAAAACATCTCGATTATGTATAAATAATTTTCTTCTTAAGCTAACAAC